AAAAAAAAGCAAGCAAAATGTGTCATTTGGGGCTGGGGATTTAGCTCAGTGGCACAGTACCTGCCTGGCAAGTGCAAGGTCGTGAGTTCAATTCCCAGTACCGGAAAAAAAGAAATTTTAAAGTTAACAGATTTGATTAGTCTTTAAAATTCTGCATCACAAAACTATGAAAGAATTGACTAAAATCTACAATAATAAATAAATCTAATTCTATTAAATACATAAACAATTCCTATATGTGAACAAGAAAATTCAGTAACCCAATAGGAAGAATGAGCTAAAGTCATGAACAAGATAGTTAATAAGAAAGGAAATAAAAATAGCACCTATATTTAAGGGAAAAAAGACCACCCTCACTCATAAGATTCAGACCATAATGAATTTATAGTAAGAGGCCATTTTCCAACTCAGACTGGCAAAGTTCATTCTGCACGGGACAGAGTATAGAGAGATAGGGCACTCGGATAGGCAAGATTGAAAACTACACTGAATGTTTACAGTTTTAAAAGTTATTACAGTAAAAGGCATAGTGCTATTGTTCCCCTCAGAATATTCCTCCTTGCTTTGAACACGCTTATGCTATCCTTCATGCCACTTTCTGAAGTACTTCCAGAAGTGCTCTTTCATGACTGTCTTTTAGTTATACTGGCACGGCTGCCACCAAGTCCTGAACTGATTTAAAACATTTAGTGTTTGTGGTCATGATGACTTTGGGGATGCACCAGAAGTCACATGGTACCAGATCCTGTTAATAAGGTGGATTGGGACACATTGTAATATTTTTATAATTCTGCCTCTCCATCCAATGGCGCTCACCTGAAGGGCTCAAAACAGTTTCAATCAAACCTTGTAAAGACATGAAAGAGGACTTCCAGAACTGCAGAAACAATGGGACAAGTGTGTTCAAAGAGAGGGGGAGTGTTTTGAGGGGGATTAATGGTTATAATTTTTAAAAATTTAAACATTCACCATATACTTTGATCACATCTCATATACTACTACTGGTGGGTTAATTGGTGCCTCTATGGAGGGCAATCTTGATTTAAAACTAAAAATGCTATTACAAACCCTGCCCCGGCAATTGTAGGAATCTATCCTACTTTTATACTTATGCCCATATACAATGGCACATGTAGTAGGATATTCATTATAATACTACTGTATGTGAACTAGAAGTCCATCAGCAAGGAAATGCTTGTAGAGATTATGGCACACACATACTAACAGACCACACAGCCTGCTGCAGATGTTAGCAAGATGTAGTAAGCAGAAGAAGCAAGGTGGAGAATGATATACAGTATTCTTTATCATCATGGAAAAACAGATGGGGCAAATATTCTAGACCTGTCTATGCATAAAATGTGTTTGAAATGATATAAAAAGAAACTGGCCACCGTTGTTGCCCCTGGGCAGGCTGCAAGATTTAGCTCTTTCTTGGAAAAACACCTCTAACTCTAAATTATACTCTGCCCTTCCAGTCAATCTCTAACAGTACATGAAAGACAACACAGCTTTCATAACACAGTGAGAAAGGTCCTCTCAAAAGTCTGATTGTGTTGAGAGGGAATTTCACCATTGTTCCAGCACCATTTAATAAAGAGGCTATTTTTCTTCCAGTGAAGGTGTCTGACTCCTTTGTCAAAGATTAGGTGGCTGAGTGTGTTTGGAGTTTCTGCATCTTCTACTCTGCTCCACTGATTCTCAGGTCTGTTTTCTTGCCAGTGCTGTGCTGTTTTTATCACAGTAGCTCTGTAGTGTAATTTCAAACCAGGGATTGTGGTGCCCCTGCTTTGCCTTTCGTTGCCAAGAATTGTTTTTGCTGTTCGAGGTCTCTTCTGGTTCCAAATGAATTTTAGGAATGTATTCTCCAGTTCTGTGAGGTATATTAATGTATTTTAATTAGGATTACATTAAATCTGTATAATGATTTTGGGAATATGGCCATTTTCATTATGTTGGTTCTTCCTACCCAAGAGCAAGTGATATCTTTTCATTTTCTGATGAATGGCTATTATCAAGAAATCAACCAATAACAAATGCTAGCAAAGTTGTGGGGAAAAGGAACCCTTCTCCATTGGTGGTGGGAGTGTACATTGGTACAACCACTGTGGAAATCAGTGTGGAAGTTCTTCAAAAAACTAGGACTACACGTCCCATTTGACCTAGCTATTCCTTTTCTGGGTATCTTCTCAAAAGAATTAAAAGCATCATACCACAGCAATATATGTGCACTGATGTTTATAGCCACACAGTTTGTAATAGCTAAATCTTGGAAACAATCCAAATGCCCATCAACTGATGAATGAATAAAAAAGATGTGGCTTTATCATACAATGGAGTACTACTCTGCCACAAAGAAAGATAAGCTTAAAAAAAAAAAAAAAAGAAAGATAAGCTCGAGATATTTCTAGCTAAATGGATGGACCTTGAGACCATACTCTTAAGTGAAATAAATCAGACACATGTGTAAATACCACACTGTCTCTCTGGTGAGAGAAACTGAAAGTGTAATTAAGAACCAAAATGTATAATAGATATTGTGAAATAGGAAAAAATTGTTCAAAAGGAAAGAGGAAGTGGGGGTGGAGGAAGGAAGTGAAAAGACAGAAGTTTGAAAAAGGGATAAAATGGAAACAAAGCTTTGTAAATAAGGAGGGCAGGGGGTTGAAAGAAGGGGAGGGGAATGAGAAAAAAAAGAACTAAGATGTATCATGTGCAGATGCAAGTTCCCTAGAGTGAATGTGATCATTATGTACATCTAAATTGTACCAATAAACTTAATTTTTAAGAAAGTCTAATTGGTGTGCTCTGTCTCTGTATTTGTCTCTTTGTCTGCCCTGCTATTCCCCTTCATGTGACAACGATCCAAGGAAGGAACGTCCCACTCAAACCCTAGTGTTGCCTTTTCTAGTTCATGGTGTTCATCGCTGCTTTCTCTGCTGAACTATTCCGAAGCACAGCAAGTCCCTGAAGAGCCATTCCTGCAGAACGGCATCCCTCAAAACCAAGTAGCTATTGTATGAAAGCCAAAACCAATAGATCAATTTATTTTTAACTCTCATGCATTTGTACAGCTTAGAAATTATTCTCACTGCACTCTGATAGGATCTCCCTGAAGCAGCAGGAGGAAACTGGTTTTTGCTCCCCATTTTGTAGAGATGGGCTCTAAAATCAAGAAAGTGACTAGCCTCCGCTCGAGTGGCAAATAAATCAGCACACCATCCAGGTGCCCTTACTCTAAATCAGAGCTGCTCCAGGGACAAATAAGGTCTGCAAACACAAATCCCTCCTGGGCAAGGCCTTGGGCATAGTCATCAGGGGCAGCTGGGTAGACTAATGACAGCCCTCAAACTCAGCCCTTAGAACATTTTTAAACACATTCTAAGAAATAAAAATGAAAAATAAAGCAGCCCTAAGATCTTCACAATATTATTTTCAAAACTCAGGGCAAAATAATTGATTTTTATTCTCTTCCTCCATCTTTTTTGTTTTTCGTTTTCATTTTCTGAGTCTCCCTATATAGTGCAGGTCCGCTTGAATTCACTATGTAGCCCAGGTTGGCCTGGAACTCACAGTGATACTCCTGCCTCAGCCTCCCATGTGATTACAGATCATAGGCATGTGCCGCCTGGCTGGCTATTTTTATTCTCTATGTATTGACTTTTACCTTTTCCTAGATTTTAGAAATAGAAAACAGATTCGTGATTACAAACATGTAAAAACAGACGACAGTCCACAAAACAGCATCTCATCAGGATTAAACAAGCACATACCTGAACTATTCCCAGTCCTCACATCTGCCATCACGAGAAAGCCAGCCAGGCAAGGTTCTCTACATCGCACACACACCCAGTTTCCCAGACAGGTGGGAGGAGAAGAGAGAAGCCACGGCTCAGACCTACCTGGGCTCCCATTCGGTTAATTCCCCAGGCAGAACCAATTTGTTTTGTAGCAGGTGCTTGACAAACGGATATGCATGCACCTGGAAACACTGGCATCTTGTTTTCTGGGAGAAGAGAAAAGATACCCTGCCCACTCGTTAATCCACCTCCAAGAAGAAGAGCTCCTGTCTGCAAAACATGTTTGTTGAACAGATTTCCTAAAGGTTCTTCCAGCTCCAACGTGCTGTTTCCATCTTTTGCACAAGCAGGCAAGGCTCCCTCTGCTGTTCTCCTTCAACAATAAACAGCATCGGTACAGCGCGCCAGTGAGCTCCAGAGCTGCCTGCCGCCCTCCCGTCTGTGTTCTCTAAATCTGGGCCTGTGGCTCATCTTCCCTCTGCAGCAATTTTCCCAAGCCTCTTTGGCTGAACCAGAAGGGCCTCCTTATTGGCCTCCTCAGCAGGCTGTCCACACAATGAGGCCTGGCCAAGCAGCCAGGGGTCAGGGCCAAGGCCCAGAGCAGGGTCAGACATTTCCCGCAATGGTCCTCGCCCCAGCAGCCAGAGATCCAGCAACAACGAAAGTGTCTGTCTCTTCCCTTCCTGGAAGACCATAAAATCAGGCAGGACCCTTCCCTCAGCTGTTCTGATGCCCTTCTCACTGGAAGCAAAAGAAAAGTAAAAAGGAAATAACTGTCTACACACACTGACACCAGAATCAACGCGGACAGACCACAGGAATTCCCCCAATTTTGTCTCCCATGTTTGCGACAGGTCCTGTGTCATGCTAAGGAATGACTGTTGGTCCAGAGCCCGGATGCTTTACATACACCCGCCCACTTCATCCTCTAGACAGCATCTCTTGGGCGCTGTCAATATCAATAAACATTTACGTTTACAGAGCCTTCTAGTTTGCTAGGTGCTTTCCTGTACATTATCTTGTTGTGTCCTGGCAAATTCCTATGAGAAGATAGGATGCAAAGTCACCCTCAATGTGGACCCCCAACACACACACACACACACACACACACACACACACACAGAGTGTGCCTTAAACCATCTACTGCCAAGACGTGCAGATTTTCTGTCAGAAATGTGGCCAGAAGCGCCCCTCTGTTCAGCCTTTATCCCCCACTGCACAGAGTGGCTCAGGTGCGCATCAGCTCTCTTTACAGTCCTCTCACCCCTGTGGCCAGTTCTCCCAAAAGTGCCTACCAAACCTCAATCTTAAGAATGAAGTTTAGGGGCTGGGGATTTAGCTCAGCGGCACAGCGCCTGCCTGGCAAGTGCAGCGTCATGAGTTCAATTCCTGGCACTGGAAAAAAAAAAAAAAAGAATGAAGTTTAGCCGGGCGTGGTGGCACACACCTGTGATCCCAGCACTCGGGAAGCTGAGGCAGGAGGATTGCTGTGAGTTCGAGACCAGCCTGGGCTACATAAGCAAGTTCAAGGCCAGCCTGAACTACACAGTGAAACCCTGTCTCAAAAATAATAATAAAAATAATAATAGGGGTCAGTGAAATGAGGTTCTTTACAATATGACTCAAATTCACCTCTGAGCAATCCCTGCACACAGTAAGCTCCATCCAAAGATCTCTCTCTCTTGTCCAAATTCCGTTTTTTCTGGCCTTCACATCTCTGCATATGTCCTTCCTCCTCCCTAGCACACACTTTGTCCTGCTAAAGACTTGCTTTTTCAAGAAGCTTAGACGCCCCTTCTCTGCGACATTTTCCCAGATCCTCCAGGCACAATGCATGTCTTCTGCCTTGGTTTCCAGGAGCCCTCCGTAAGTAACACAGCCGCAGCGCCCATCACACTGTGTTGTAATTATCCATCTTCTGCTACTCTGACTTCCTCAAACTAGAATTCAGTAAGTATTTAGTGCAGAAATGGGTGAGAAGGGGGACATTTTAAAGCTAAAATAAGCTATGGCTTTCAACGAATTCTAGATTTCAAACACCCTTAGGGACCAAAAAGCAGAGGTCCAAACCTTTCTGAAGATAACAGATAAATACATAGCTATCCAAGGGTGACATCCAAATACTAACAACTGAAGTATAAAGAGCACAGCTGCCTCAATAGCAAGTTTTCAATAATCATCGAAAGCCTTAACAAAGTCCACACTCTTTGACCAAGCAGTGCTGCTTCTGGGAATCTTTCCAAGGAATGATTCCAAGAAGTGCACAAAGATTTACACACAAGAAAGTCCCACTATTACTCGGTCCAGACCTCCACGATGGAAGGAGTGAATCCTCTGTCCAACAACAGAGAAGCGGCTGCACATTTCCACAGAGCCACACGAAGTAACATTATGAAATAAGTATTTGCAAAGAAATGTATTTTCAAATCTCTTGCTGGGTGTGGTGTTGCACAACTTTAATCCCAGCACTACCCAGGCTGAGGGAGGAGAATCAGCACGAGTTCCATGCCGGCCTGGGCTACGTGGGCTACAGCCTAGAATACACAGAGCCACCCTGTCTCAAGAAATATAAATAAATAAATAAATATCCTTACCTCTGGCTGGTGGGATAGCTTACTTTCCTGTTTATATATTTATGTCCTCCCTAAATTTCATTTAATAACAAGATTTATTCAATAAATAGGACTTATTTAGAAACAATACACATTACTAAAATACCATAGGGACTTAATAGTGGTGAAAGAAATACACAGTAGATACATGTGCAATGCTAGTGACCTTCCACATTGAAATGGCTCTTCTAGAAAATAAGATCTTACCAAAGCCAACAAAAGGCTTTTCATGCAGTGAGCTCACTGCTCTAAATTCACTTTAAGGAAAGAACTGAACAAACTGAAAATGCTAACTGAACAAAAATTCTCATTATATCATATCTAAAAGAGTAAAGACTTGGAAGCAATCCAAACGTTCAAAGAGGGATAGTGCAGAATATAGAACTATCTATTCCATAGAATGTGGGACAGCCGTCAGAAATGCCAATTATGAAAACTATGTTAGAAACATGAAATAATGTTAACAATTGGCTATAAAATGAAAATACACAAAGCTGCATTTGTGAAGACTGCAGTTACGAAAAATCAGTATGCATGTGAACAAGGGAATTGCAAAAGTAAAAATTATAATATTGTATTAGGATTATAAGGTTCCAGGGAGCTTTTTACTTTTTAAGCTTTGTCCTCTTTTTTCTTTAAACAAATATTTAACATTCTGCACATGTCACAGACACTTTTTTTTAGCCTTAGAGGAGAATAAATTGCCAATAGGAACACAATCACCATCAAGGTTGTGGTGCGCCCCGCTCCATCTCTTCTTCCTATATACTGGGTAGTTTTGCTTTGTTTCTGTCATGGTTGTAATCATGATAGAATCACGATAAAGTTGTTACAAAATCATTTCCATTTTTAAAAACCAGAGAAGTTGACACAAGTTCTCCACGAGAATAGTGGTGGTTTGTTTCAAAGGTGCTCAGAAGACCTCATATAATGTCTACTTTTAAGCAAAGAACAAACAATATACGATCATGACAAAAGAGACTGATCAAAGTTCCTGCACTGCTCATGACCCGCAGGCCTATGTCAGCAGCCATCAGCAAGAGCACGGACAGGACTGTGTCACCAAAGCTGATGTCACGGGAGAGCTGAGGGAATTTTACTAGACTTTGGAAATAGATAGAGTGGTGTATTAAGTTTCAGTTCAGAAAACGCCTGAAGGAAACAAATCTAACAGTCACTAGGACCAGAACAGTCAACCCCCTTTATATCTGTCCTGTCCTCCTCGGGCCACCGGCTCCACCTTCACGGAGGCCACAGTGCGTGGAGCAGCAGCTGTTTGCTACGCTGCCTGCTCCCCCGGTCCCTTTTCCTCCCTTCCGGCTGCAGCCGCTGCTGCACTGCAGATCACTCACGCAGGCCTCACTTGCCTCTAGACAGAGGAACAGGGAAGCGGGGAAGCATAGCTAAGGATGCGCAGACACTGCTGCCACGAAGTGAGTGTGGCCCCAGGGGTGCGGGAGGCTGCGCTGTTGCCATGGAGGGGCTCCGTCCCTGCTGTGTGTGGACCTTTCCTGCTGTCAAACAATGGGCCCTCTCAACACAAACCAACTACGCACAGATTACAGGCCTGGCTGCCACGGCCCCTGCCTTCTGTTCCTAGGACACAGGAGACGCTGCCTTGGACCGGCCGAGAGGCGGTGTCACGGCTAACAAAGCAAACCCCCTTGTGAGTCGAGCAGAATCTTAGCATCTGCAGCCCTTGATGTTTTAGAAACGACCCCTGTGTGAGACGCAGAGTGACTGTGCTGCACCCTCTCCTCGGAACTAACCTGACCCTGGCATTCCCATTCCCACATGTGAGTCTCCTGGGGAGCTCGCAGCTGCTTCCACCATGTCGTTTGTAAAACGAGGACTAGGGCCCGGGTTAGGAACGTAAACTTTGGAGTCAAATCACCCAAGTCAGAATCCCACCGCTGCTTTTTGTGAGTCGGGCGACCTTCGGTAATTTTCCTATGCCTGTGCGCCTTTATTTGCAAATAGAGATTATAACAGGCCCAACAACACAGGCTGGCATGCAGATTAATTCACAAGGCACAGGAAGGGCTCAGTGAGTGTCAGGTGCCACCCCCGTTCTTGTTGCTGGTGTTACTGTTGGAGGAAGCTCAAATTCCCTAGCAGGGCACACAGACGCTCCGTGAGCCAGGTGCGCACATCCTTCTGGCTTTGTTTCTCATGGCCTTTGTGTAACCACCACACTGACCGCCAGCGGTGCCAAGCTCCCAGGGTGTGGGCCCCAGGCAGGTTCATCGCGCTCCACATCGGTGAGCACCAGGGACTCTGAACTGGCTTCCCGTGTGAGTTAGTCCGTCTCTCCTCTGTGCTTGCTCTGAGTTCTACAGAGACTCTGCACAGACCTTCGCTATGCTCCTTGGCTGATGTATCCTGCTTCCTCTAGCAGGCCTTCAAAACACAGGCCCTTGTGAATTCCTACCTGTACCTTCACTGCCTGGCATTTCAATAGGCTCTAGACAAATATTTATTAAATAAATGCAAAAGAAAAACTGATTAATATACCCAGAAGCTGGGGATGCTTTTCAGAGAAAGTAAATATCAGGATGAGGAAATCAAACCCCCAAACACCTTGATCCGAAGAAGAGTTAACTGGCAAAGATCAGCTATCTACAGAGAAAAAGACTGCAATTTGCCAGGAGAATACCAAACCTTCTTTCAGTGCGGTATCTTTGCACTGGGGGAGGGGAAAACTGAAGTGATGTGCACCACGGTTCCACACCAGCTGACCAGACACTGAACAAGCGCTTCTACAATTTTTCTTCTTCATAAAACAACAGTCATAGCGGAACAAGAAATACTTTTCAACTTGCCTGAAGGGCAGATAATTTAAATAAAACACTGCAGAGACTCAGACTGCAAGAAAGAAGGGAGCTAATCTTTGTTGAATGTCTACAATGAACCAGATACTTAAAAACTAATACAATTTCTATATTAATTTTTAAATGTGCTAGACACAGACTCACTTTATGTGCATTATCAAGTCAGACCAAAAAAAAGTCTTCAACAATTCTTGAGATATGAGTATTAGCCTTTGTTTTGCAGATGACAAGAATATATCTAGTCATTCTGTGCGTGTTTATTGAGCATCTACTACATACAAGTCACAGACCCAGGAGCAGGGGATGCAGGGTTAAACAAGCAGCCAAGGTCCTCCTCCCATTGAGCATAAAAAAAAAA